ATTTTATATGTGATTGAAGTTATGGTGTTATTAAGGAAAAATGTTGGGAATAGAAGATGTTTCATGTAAGTTCCCATGTTAGCCATAAAAAAAAAAAATACCTTGCAGAAGATATACCGAAGAAAATGAAAAAGGAATTAAAGCATACACTATAAACACACACAAACACACAAAAAATCAAGGAAACACAAAAGAGAAAGTATGAAAGGAAAAAAACTGCCATGAAGAGGGAAAACAAGAAATGGCAATAGTAAGTCTTTCCTTATCAGTAATTACTTCAAATGTAAATGGATTAAATTCCCTAATCAATACACTAAATAGCTGAATCAATTAAAAAAAATAAGATCCAACTACATTATGCATAAAAGAAACTCACTTTAGATTTAAGGACACACACAGTCTGAAAGTAATAGAACAGAAAAGGATAGTTCATGCAAATAGTAAGTAATAAAGAACATAGATGGCCCTTCAAAACAGATTTTAAGTCAAAACTTGTCACATAAGACAAGGAAGGATATTGTACAATGCTAGAAAAGGTCAGTTCACCTGGAGTGTATGACAATTATAAATTTACACACATATACAAAAATGTGTATGTACCCCACATCAGAACACTCACATATATGAAATAAACAATGATAGAACTGAAGGAAGAAACAGACAGCAACACAGTAATAGATTTCAATACCCATGTAGAAGATCATTAAGGAAAAAGAGGACTTGAATGGTACTATAAACCAGATAGAACTAGCAGACATATACAGAACACTCCACCCAAAAGAAACACAATACACATTACCACCAAGTACAGGTAGAACATTCCCTGTGCTTGTATGTTAGGCCACAAAACAAGCTATAGCATACTGAAGACTGAAATCACACTAAGTATCTTTTCAGAAATTGTATTAGAGTGAAAATGGAGAATTGAAAAATAAAGTCATGAAACCAAGTTGATTCTACCAAAAAAAAAATGAACAAAATTGACAAACCTTAGCACAACTAAGAAAAAAGAAAACAATCAGAACTCATTTCTAATTTTTACTTTAATGAAAATGAATTAATGTTAAAACCTTCTCAAATTCTTCCAAAAAAAACTGAAGATGACACTGGCATTACTCTACTATCAAAGCTACACACAGATACAACAAGAAAACTACAGACTAACGTCCTTGATAAATACAAACACAAATATTCTCAACAAAATATAAGAAAGCTGATTCAACAGCACAATGACCCTGGGGCTCAAGGACAGTTCAACATACAAAATAGTCAATCAATGTGATCACAAATTAACAGATAAAAATCACACAATTATCTGCTTCTTACCCTGCTTATTACAGATTATATTCACGTATTAAACCACCATAATGTAGATGTACAAGTTCTGTCTCAATAAAAAATATATATATAAATCACGATTATCACAATGGATGCAGAAAAAGCATTTGACAAAGGTCAACACACCTTCAAGATAAAAAATAAAATCAACAAAGTAGAACAAAAGGAAATTACCTCAACATAATAAAGGCCATATCTGAAAAGCCCTCAGCTACTAATCAAATTCAACAGTGAAAAACTGAAAGCTTTTCCTCTAAGATCAGGAAGAAGGCAGAATGGCCACTCTCACCACTTCTATCCAGCATGGTACTAGAAACCCTAGCCAGACCAACTACCTAAGAAAAATAAGTAAAAAGGAAGTAAATTCATCTCTCCTCACAAACGACATAATTTTATGCATAAAAAAACTCTAAGGTTTCCATTTTTAAAATGTTAGAGTAAACAAATTCAGCAATCAGCTCAGAAAAATCAGTTGTGCTTATACACACTAAAAATGAACAATCTCCAAAGGAAACAGCATTAAAAAGAATCAGATACTTAGGAATAAACACTGAAAAAGAGGTAGAAGACATAAACTGAAAACTACAAAATACTGCTGAAAGATATTAATTCACAAACAAATGCACCACCATGCCTGGCTCTTATCATTATAACCCAAAGCAATATAGTTTCAATGTAATCCCTGCCAAAATCCCAATGTCATTTATTGCAGACATACGAAAAAAAAAATTTATATGGGACCATAAAAGACCCCAAATAGCCAAAATAATCTCAAACAAAAAATAAGAACAAAATTGGAGGCTTCATACTTTCTGACTTCAAAAATGACAAAATTATAGTAATCAAAACAGTATGATACTGGCATAAAGACAGACATATTGACCAAAGAAACAAAATAAACCCCAGAAAACAAAACAAACAAAAAAATGCTTATGTATGACCAAATGACCTACAACAGGGTGTCAAGACTACATGATGTAGAAAGAAGATTCTCTTCAACAAATGGTGTTAGGAAACCTGGATTTCTACATGCAAAGGATGAAACTGGACCTTTACTCTACACATAAGAATGAACTCAAAATGGATTTAAAGATTTAAGCACAGACCCAAACTATAAAACCCCTAGAAGACGCCAGGTGGCAGTGGCTTAGCCAGGTGCCACTGGCTTACTCCTGTAATCCGAGCACTCAGGAGGCAGAGATCAGGAGGATCACAGTTTAAAGCTAGCCCAGCAAATACTTTGAGACCCTATCTTGAAAAAACCCATCACAAAAAGGGGCTGGTGGAGTGGCTCAGGGTGTAGGCCCTGAGTTCAAACTCCATACTGGGGGGAAAAAAGGAAAACAAAACTAGAAGAAAACAACATGACACTGGTGTAAACAATGGTTTCTTAGGCACGACACCAAAGCACAGGCAACAAAAGCAAAAGGAGTGGGACTCCTATCAACCTAAAAAGTTATGGGCAGCAGGGGTAACAGTAACAATAACTAGTGCTTGCTAGGTAGATGCTCTACCACTTAAACCACACACCCAGCCCTTTTTTTCTTCCGTTGAGGTAGGTTTTCCCCTGGACTGCAATCCTCCTATTTACACTTTTTGTGTAGCTGGGATGGTAAGCGCGCAACACCATGCACAGTTTTTTGTTGTTGTTGAGATTGTGCCTCACTAACATTTTGCCAGAGCTGGCTTCGAATCACAATTCACCAACAACCATGCCTCCCATGTAGCTGGGATTCTGTACAGATATGAGCCATTGTGCCTGTCCATGTTATATATATTTTTTACCGTATCATTATTAAAAGGGAAGGAGAAGAAATGACATTTTTATAACATGACTTGTTCACAACGAACCCATATCAGCCTGCCTCTAAGGATCAACATTTTCATTTGCAAGTATTCACATCCTTATGTAATTATCTTTATGGAATTGGACTGACATAAAATTTTCCAACACAGTTTTCAAATTTCAGTTTCCCCTTTTAGAAATCAAAAAGATATTTGTCCATCTTTAGCTTTCTAGCACCATTCTTTTCATCTAGGATAGTTTAGAAAATTCATTAAAGTTCTCTTAGTACCTTAAGATTAAACTGACTTAGAACAGAAAATTTGAAATAAAGTGGTTTTATCTCTAGCAATAAAGGAAATGCAAATTAAAACCACACTAAGATTCCACCTCACCCGTTAGAACAGCCATCATTAGCAACACCACCAACAATAGGTGTTGGCGAGGATGCGGGGCAAAAGGAACCCTCATACACTGTTGGTGGGAATATAAACTAGTACAACCACTCTGGAAAAAAAATTGGAGACTACTTAAAACACTAAACATTGATCTACCATTTGATCCAGCAATACCACTCTTGGGGATATACCCAAAAGACTGTGACACAGGTTACTCCAGAGGCACCTGCACACCCATGTTTATTGCGGCACTATTCACAATAGCCAAGTTACGGAAACAGCCAAGATGCCCCACCACTGACGAATGGATTAAGAAAATGTGGTATCTATACACAGTGGAATTTTATGCAGCCATGAAGAAGAACGAAATGTTATCATTTGCTGGTAAATGGATGGAATTGGAGAACATCATTCTGAGTGAGGTTAGCCTGGCCCAAAAGACCAAAAATCATATGTTCTCCCTCATATTCGGACATTAGATCAAGGGCAAACACAACAAGGGAACTGGACTTTGATCCCATGATAAAAGCGAGAGCACACAAGGGAGGGGTGAGGATAGGTAAGACACCTAAAAAATTAGCTAGCATTTGTTGCCCTTAACGCAGAGAAACTAAAGCAGATACCTTAAAAGCAACTGAGGCCAATAGGAAAAGGGGACCAGGAACTAGAGAAAAGGTGAGATCAAAAAGAATTAACCTAGAAGGCAACACACACATACAGGAAATTAATGTGAGTCAACACCCTGTATAGCTATCCTTATCTCAACCAGGAACACTTGTTCCTTCCTATTATTGCCTATACTCTCTCTTCAACAAAATTAGAGATAAGGGCAAAATAGTTTATGCTGGGTATGGAGGGGGTGAGGGGGGAGAGGGAGGGGGCGGAGTGGGTGGTAAGGGAGTGGGTGGTGGCAGGGGGGAGAAATGACCCAAGCCTTGTATGCACATATGAATAACAAAACAATAAAAAAAAAAAAAAGAAAGAAAGAAAGTGGTTTTCTACTCACTTGCTTTCTTACATGCCACTTAACTATCACAAACTCTCAGTGTGTGTTTTGTTGTTATTGTTTATTTGGTTGGTTGGGGTTTTTCACAGTATTTGTTTGTTCATTCATTCTTCTGAGATAGTGTCTTGCTTAAGGTTTGCAAGCTGACCTTGAATTCCTTGGTTCCAAGTGATCTTCCTGCCTGTGCCTCCAGAGTAGCTGGGACCACTGGCAAGCACCACCATGCCAGGCTCTTACCAATGTTCTTTATACCCTTTCCAGATTAATATGCATTCTCTTATACACAGTGTTTTAAAACAAACTAAAACAAAAAATGGAAAATTTTATTTTCTCTAATCTACTCGAGTAACAACAAACAGTAAGCCCAAGATTTTCACAATACAAGTAAAACAATAAAATGCATAATACTTTTGATATAATGTTTTATATAAAAATTTTAAAATATAGCTATTAATACTCTAATTTCATTGCTTACTTTTAAATATGCAGCTGCTTCTTGGACAGAAAGTGTTCTTTGACTAGAACTGCCACATTCATGATCTCCTGGGAAGATTAACATATTATTAAATTTTGTATCACTAAAATGTTAAACAGAAGAAAGAGAATTAATTCAAAATGTCTTACAAATTACACAATTATAAGTTTTATTATAATCAGTAAGGAAAGATGAACAACATATTTTCTTCAAAAACTTCTAGCAACTAATGTAAATAAACAACGGGAACATACCTATCTCCTCTGTTCCAAACTAAATTGTAAACCAGTATAGATATAGTATAGATACCATGTCCCTCTGATAGCTACTCCAGAGACCTTGGCACACCAAGAGGCCTTCCACATGTATGCTTTATTCCTAAAGGGGAAGAATACAGCAAATTCTCTGTGCTAACTTTTGTTTCTACTCTTCAAGCTAAAAATTCAAATGAACGTGAACTTACAATTGAATTATAACATGCGCATTTTCAGAATATAATTCAGTCTATCTTTAGGAAGGTGTCCATCCCTGAAAAATTGTTTTAACATAGATCAACAAGGTAATTAGGTAGAATTTCCTACCCATAATTTGGTTTCTACAAAGGGTTATGTTACAAAAGTTTGGAAAACTACATTTTTATTTTCTACGAACTGTTTTTAAAAAGAGAATTAGAAGCTTTTTCCCTTTGTACTGGGGTTTGAACTCAGGGTGTTGAGTGTGCACTTTTTGCTCTGGTTATTTTGAGATGGAGGTCTCACCAACTATTTACCTGGGCTGGCCTCAAGCTGCGATCCTCCTGATCTCGGCTTCCCAAGCAGCTAAGATTACAAACATGAACCACCGGCCCCTGGCTTCAAAGCTTTTTCTTTAGGCTATGTGTAGTTATCATAGAAAAATTTTCCTCATATTGAACTTCAATAGTAGTTTTCCCTGCCCTGTTTCTTTCAAGTAGTTTAAAACTATCTTCAACATAAAAGTATAATAATTAAAGTTAAATCCCTGGCAAATTTTTCTATAATAAAAATAAATATGTTCTTATTTATCAGTTTTGTTCAAGAAGTCAGATCTTAAGAGTGTAGTTATAAGAAGGGAAGATAACCTTTTGGGTAAACAAGTCTTCAAAGTTTGTAACACATCCCCAGAGAATCAGATTCAATGGATCTAGAGCAGAAGTCAACAAACTACACCCCAGGGCCAAACCTGTAGTCTGCTGGTTTTTTATAAATGAAGTTTTACTGGAATATAGTCAAGCTCATCCATTACATAATATTTATGGTTGCTTTCACACAATAACAGCAAAATTTATTTGTGACAGAATCAATCTAAAATACTTACTATCTGCCACTTCACAGAAAAAAGCTCACCAACCTCTACTTTTGAGGAAGGAGTCAGTATGTTTGAAAGCAATCCAGATTGTGTTGATTTAATGAGCCACAGACTATTCATAAGACAATGCTATACAGACAGCTATAAATACCTGTCTTAGCAACATCAGGATTTCCTAACCGTCTTCTGGGTGATAAAGCATATGAAATAAATGTCACTAGCATGGAGTTTAGAAATACGACAGCAGTCAATCAATGCAAAGAAGGCTTTTAATGATGTCCACAAAATTATAAGTCTAAAAAACTAAAGAGAATTAAGGACCCAAGCTGAAAAACAAAGACAAGTTTGAAGATGGACACAGCTGGCAGTATTCTAATTATTTTCATTCAAGTAGAGAAGTTTCACATTTTTCTACTAGGCTTCTACTAATAACGATCGAGTTTCCACAAAAGGATCTGCTATATTAAAAAGTCTGAGGAACTGAAGTTTCCTCCCTCTTTTTGCTCCTTCTTTCTTTTTTTTGGCAGTACTGGGATTTGAACTTGCTAACTTGAGCCACACTTCTAGCCCTTTTTGCTTTGCTTTTGTAATTATTTTTTTTCAGATAGGTGTTTTGCCTACAGACAACCTTGGAAAGTGATTTTCCTACCTATACTTTCCACATAGCTGAAATTACAGATGTACACCACCACACTTGGTTTATTTGTTGAGATGAGGATATCCCTAACTTTTTACCCAGGCTGGCTGGAACCATAATCCTCCCAATTTCTGCCTCCAAAATAGACAGGATTATAGGCATACATCACCACACCCAGGCTGTACTTTTATTTTCTTGTATCTGCTCATAAACAGGAATTCCAAAGTCTCTTTTTTCAAACTATATGTCAAATAAGAATAACTTTAAAAAGTTAAAAATACACAGATATGCTTCTATTACAGCTTATAGATGCTAAACTTAATACTAATTCATGTATAACAAATTATTTTAATTACACGTGTTGATACCTGAGAGCTCTCAAAGACTTATAACAAAGAGCTGAAATTGAAGAAAATTCAAAAATGCAATGAGTCAGGTAAGAACAATCTGGGATAAAACACTTATTTTACCCAATGATACCTGTACAACCACCAAAGAAATTCTTTATTTCTATTTTAATCCAAGATTTTAATAAGTTCATTGCTTAACTGACTCAACTGATACTTAAGTTTTCAAAATTTTGTTATTATTAATACAATGAAGAATTAGGCTTCTCTTAAACTTATGTAATATACATATATGTAATATATGCAGCACAGATTATATCTGTACAAGTAAAAATCACTCAGTATGGTAATAGAAACTTCTAAAGAAAAATACTCCACAAATAAAACACAATATTGCACTTAAGAAAGACTATTTCTATTGATATGAAATGCAACATACGCATACTAATTTTTATAAGCATTTTAGAAAGTATGAATGCTAAAACAATTACCTGCAAGCTGTGCCAATCGGTCATGAAGCTTGTATAACGTGCTCATCATAAGATTTTTTTCACTTTCCTAAAATTAAAATAAGTTACTATGAAATACCCAACTTCAAGAAAAAAATCATTAATTCTTATTAAAAAAGAAAAACAGGAAATTAATTTGAAATCAATGAAGCTACAAAATCTAGAAGTCAAATTCATATTTGAACAACGGCCACCATATTTTAAGGAGCCTTCATCTAAAAATATAAATTTTATCACTTTAAATACTTTACTTTCTTAAAGACAATCAAGAAGTTTGCACTAAGATTAGAGGTAATAAAAGGTTTCACATACAATAATCTCCTCTACCCTCCAAAGCAATGTTCCAATCCCTGCACACAATGCCTGCTCATGTATATTTTTCTTTTAAGACATTTTACATCAATGTTGCCCTTCCCATTTGATTTTAATCTGATTCAATCACATAAAATTAAGGGAATGAGTGTTATCACCATGACAGGCATCCTCTCTTAGGCTTTTATGATGGCCCTGTGTAAAATTATAAACCATTAAAGTGAAGCAAACACTTAATGAGGTTAAGAACTGTTTTCTCAAAAGTGTGAGACCCAGTAAACAAGAAGACTCCTGTCTTCAAGGACTAAAAAACACAAAGTGTTATATTACAGTTGCAATGTACAATGCAAATGCAGAAGAGGGAGATAAGGAAAGACCGATTTGTGGAACAGAGAATGTTAGAGTTGAGTTTCACAGGAAGAACAAAATTGACCAGCATTCCAAGCAGAAAGAATAGCATGAGCAGAAGCATGAAGGCATGAAAGCACTGGTTATATTTCTTATACAGGCAGCAGCCTAGTTTGACTCAGCAAAGTACTGAAAAAGTCCTGTGGACTTAACTGCCAGAGAGCCCTATATACTAAGACAGAGTTTGACATTATTCTGAAAATTTAGGAGGAGGAAAGTAAACAAGACCTGTGCACACACCAGAATGTATAGGATAGTCTTAAGCAGAAATAACTATATGAAAGGAGTCCAGAGAGGGGGACTACTGCAATGGTATAGTCAATGCATCTTGTCAAGTCTCTAAAGCACTGATACCCCCAATTTAGGAGCAACTAGTTATTATGGATCAATATAAGTGATGAAGAAGGGTAAGTTAGGAGAAGAGGTAACAACTTATCACATTATCCGAAATAAATTCATGATTATCAGGGAACCTTGTCTTTATTATTTCCTTTCTTCCTGAAGTGCTTAACAAAACAGGATTACTGGATGAATATGATCATGGAGCAAATTCAGGCAAGATTAGCATTTATGTCTAAAGATGTGCAACCTCATCTACCCACTTGTTTTTGTGCTCTATGTTCAGAAAAAGAAGGGGACAAGTCTGCATGCTATGAGTAACGTGCTTTTGCCAATGCAGCTTTGATCAGTGACGCCAGAAGGTTGCAAGACCCTACCTACCACCAAGTCCATGGGTTTATGTCATATGGTTGAGAAAGATAACTCTCAGTTGACTACTAGCATTTCAATCTTTTCAAACACAACACCCCATTCCCATTTTTTTACCTCAATTCTATGTTAACAAGATTTTGAATCAAGCCAATCTTTATTTTCACGTAATATTAAAAATCCAAACTGTAAAAATCAGACATCAAAAAGTAAGAGTAGGTGCTAAAACTCAAGATTCTGAAAGGCATGCATTTGTGATACAGTAAACTACAAAATAATTTTCAATAAAAATGTTCAACATAATAGAATGAGCAAGAGTTCCACTACTAAGGTAACTTATGGATTTGATAGACATACCAAGGTCAATCTGATCAAGATATCTCTGAATAAACTTTATCTTTTGATCCACAGATCTTTTTTTTTCCCTTTTGGCAGGACTGGGGTTTGAACTTAGGACTTCACATTTGCAAAGCAGGTGCTTACCCCTTGAGCTACACCTCTAGTCCATTTGGCTTTGGTTATTTTCTAGATGGGGATCACATAAACTACTTGTCCATGCTGACCTCAAACCACAATTCTTCCCCTCTCAAGCCTCCCAAGTAGCTAGGATTACAAGCATGAGCCACTAGCACCCAGCTGATTCCTAGATCTTAACAACAGACTAGATAAATAGAAGAAATAACAAAATCTACTGAAACAGAACTGGATCTCATTCACAGTGTTACAGTTCCATACAAAGAGTTTAAATACTCAAAAAGCTTAACTATAATTTTTTAAGAATTATTTTTCTATGAAAACTTATTCAAATTGACAATCTATACCCCATAAGAAATCAAATACCACCCAAATGTTCAACTAAATAATGATCTAAATAAGGTTTTTATGATAAATGTTGTCAAGTAAACAAATCAGCTTTGAGAAAGAAATAGAAAGGCTCTAGTTCAATTACCTTTACTAGAAGGTACTCTAGCAGTAAAACTGAAAAGCATACAAGTCAATTTTTAAAGTTACAGTCTTACTAGTTTATAGTTTTTATATATTCTTCTCCATTCTGACTGCTTTTCAGATTGTCTACTAACATTTCAGTTTGAAATATGTCTAACTACTTGTTTCTCAATCATCCTGCTATGTAAAGACCTATAAATAAATACACTTTACAAGTAAGCTTTCAAGTAATCCTTCATTAAAGAAAAATAATTTTAACAATTTAAATTACCTGCCTTCTAACTGTTTCAGTAAGATCCAGATCATTGTTTACCTATGCATATATTCCTCTAAAGCAAACACTTCATTCTTGGGATGAAAAAAAATGTTGGGTGACTACCAAATTTTTTCATATCTGTATATGAGAAATATTTAAATATTTCCCTCCTCCATCCTTAATTATTGTTAATTATCTCTTCAAGGACATCTTTAACTATATCACATCTTAAATTAAAGGAAAACAGATTTTAAACACTTAGCATGGTGCCTGGCACAGAATAAGCACCTTGTGTAAGTGAATTGCCATTATCTTCATTATAATTATTACTATTATTGAGAGGTTCAGAATGTCTGTTTCACCATGGGAAAAATTACACAGAAGAAAACAGTCTTGTATTTCCAAAGTTCAGTGAGTATATTGTACTAAATTTAGATTATGATGCTACAGCATAGTTAGGCTCAATACTATAACTAATAAAGTCATCTTTAAACAAATAATACCACTATAGAATATTACTGAATATAATTATCTCAAAATTTCACCCTTAACAATTTAAAGTGATGCTCTGTGGATCTGATTATACTTTATTATACATCATTCAGTATAGCAAATAGTTTTCTACACTAGACTATATAACTGTCAGTTCCTAATAATTAACAATTAATCATGTGTAAGTATATATTTACTATACATATTTTGATGTACGTAAAGTTAGGATTAAAATTAGTATAGCACTCTTTGAAAAGAAAAAAATCCTCAATAGGCCCCAATGTTTCCTTTCTAAGTCTTTGGCCTTCTTGATGCTTGAGTAGGCCAGTGCACAAAAGACCCAGAGATTCAATGATGACAAAACCCATTAAGGTATCCAACAACTTCAGACAACAGGCATACTTTTTAAGTGTAAGGACAAGGTCCACAGATGATATGACACACCACTTCCATTTTACTTGACAGCTGGCTTAAAATTAACATGTTAAACAGTTTAGCTCTTAGGAGAAAATCTGAATCAGATTTAATTATTTTATAATTAAAGAATACTCAGAATAAGAAAACGTTTGAAATTAAAAGAACTTTTAAAAGTGTTATTTTTAGTTGTTAGTCATCTTAATACTTTCATAATATAAAACATGACATAAAATATCAGTATTGTGATCTTTTACTTACTTGTATTTTTCCAAATGTTTCATCAAAGGGATTTTTTACTATCAAGGAAAAGAAAAAAGAGAACTATTAGTGTCACTTAAGGATAAGAATTTAAATCCCCCTAAACAAGCACTCTGAAATGCCAGTATGTGCTGTGCTAAAACTGAATGCAAATGTGCAAACAAAATGTAAAAAACACTAAAGATAATAAAAGTTGAAGAAATAATTCTTCAGACATATTATACTGACCGTTCTCACTATGAATCTGTAGTTTTCTCTGTAACTACTAAGAGCAAGCATTCTGGTGTCAGGCTCTGAATTCAAGTCCCAGCTCCACTACTTAGCAATATTTCTTTAAGCTAACATCTACGTAGCCACTCTACATTGTAGTTTCTTCTTCCACAAGGAAGGATAATGATGATGCCTATCTTTTTTTTTTTGGTGCTGGGGACCGAACTCAGGGCCTTGCACTTGCCAGGCAAGCGCTCTTCCACTGAGCTAAATCCCCAACCCCAATGATGCCTATCTTATGTAATTTTTAGGGGGGTCAGGAATAAATGAGATAATCCATATGAAATGCTTAGCACAGTGTCTATCACTATGTTCTCAGTACATACTACCCAATATTGTTACTATTAATGACAGTATATTTCTACATTAACTTTATTTCTCTTCAAAATATAGGCTAAGAAGTTAACTACTTGACTATAAATTGTTTTAAAAATAAGTAATTCACTTAGAATTCCAACTTCTAATTATTAAAAAAGAAAAAAAAACTCCTAATCTTTGCTAACAATTGGCAACATGGCAAGACTGTATAGATCAAAGTAGCTAAGAATTAAGTCTCAATATTAGACAATTCCAAATTTCCAAAAAACATTAAATTATAAAGAAAACACTTAAAACTTTACATATACTATTCCCAGATCTGCCCCCAAATATAAACAGGTTTATAATTAAAAACATAGCATCTCTCATGATTATTTAGAACATTCTATCATATCTTTCTTTACATACAAAAATATTCAAAACCCTCAGATATCTAAAAACTTTTGTATATATTTATATAGACTATATATACTATATAATCCAGGTCATAACTAAGACTAACTGATCTCACAGATTATTTCACACTGACCAGGTTTCCTTTCTAAGATGCTTTTCTATTTTTACTTGAGAAAACAGGAAGTCCCATAGGAACCAGGAACTGCTTGATTCTAAGAAAGTTCATGTGAGAGACCAGTTTAACAAGGTACAATAAAAAAGCAAGGGAAAAAAATGTATCCTGTTATCATAAAAAGAGATTTTGCTCTTGGATTTTTAGACATTTCTCTATACAACAAAAGGATTTTAAGGCTGGGAAAGAAAATTTTCAAAAGAGAGCAAATCAAAAGTACTCAAAGAGGGATTAGAAGGAAGAATTTATGCAGCTTAAAAATTAAATGCTAAAAATCAGAACACGTGGGTTGAAAAAATACTTTTTAATAACATTAATTTTAATGTGAAATTTGAAGCTTGAAATAAAGTTGCACTTATCTCAGTATAACTACCAAAAATGCCTTGTCAATCTACTTAGAAAACCAAAACCAAGTATTTTATTTGTTCTGTATATGAAAAACAAATCTTAAAAGTGTAAGAAATGCAGTTCTAAAAAAGTTTTAGTTTATGAGGAAAAGTCTTGGCAGCACTTAGTTTTTCAATTTTATACAATATTTTTCAATTTTATACAATATTATTTTTGTCAGGACTATCTAATCAAAAACCAGGTCTTCAAATATCTCTATGAAAGCCTAACTGTAAATTTCAGATGCTCTGCCACCAGACTGCTGTACTGTGAGTTTCTCACAACAGGGACCATGTGTTATTCACATTTATGAATGGAGCCAAGCATAGTATTAGACATACAGTTAGTGCTTGAAAATGCTGGCTACACTATCAAGGTTAAATCCACTCTTATTTATTTTACTTTGTGTGTTAACACTAAAGCAGAAGTGTCAAATTCTTCAGGAAACTGGAACAGGGTATGTTTAGAGCAACTGGTAAGGTAGGAGGATGGGATAACAAGAATAAAACTAAAGAGAAAAACAGTTGAAAAATACTGTTCTGCCCTTTGTATCCTTCTAGATTTCTGCCTCTTACATAGTAGGCTAAGATACCTAACAATATAACCTAGCAAAGCAGAAGGTTAGGGGCATGTTTCAAGTGGTAGAGCACCTGCCTAGCAAGGTCAAGGCCCTGAATTCAAATCCCAGTACTGCTACTTATTTTTAAAAAGAGGCCTAAAAAGTCAAAAGGACACTTCCTGCTCTATGCTCATCTGTGAAAAAAATTTTCCTTCAAATGTGAGTGAGATCTGTCCCCTACTAAATTAACAGACATGCCTAATAAATTAACTGGAAAAAAGTAAAATGTGGCCTTGAGGTTAAATTTTCAAAGAATACTCACCCTAAAACAGCAACTGTAGCAAACTACAAGACCACAAATTTCTGAAAAAAGTATCTTCACTCATCTAACTTCCCCCAAATCATTTTATTGTTTCTGAACACATCATACTAGTAAATCTCATCCAAATTACTTAGTATTTAATGGGAATAATAAATATTGTTATCCCTAGTGAAAATATATAACATCCCTTCCCAATTTGGCAATCGTAGAGAAGAAATGTCACTTCAAGAGCAGGTGACAACAAAACTTTGTCTCTTATTATCATTCAGTCTGATTTCTAGGGAGACACCCCCCACTCCAGAGTGAATTACAGTTCTTATCCTGTCTTAAAACAGTGATGATGCCAAGGTGGTATTCAAGATTTACTATTCCATCCCGTGAAGCCACAACTCTAAAATCATTTTTTAGTCTATGATTGTTTTAAACTCTATACCTCCAACAGTTTTGCATCGCTGTTTTTTTCTCAAATTCTCCTAGTTTGGCTATTTCTTTGTCAATACTTTAGGCTACTGTAAACCTCAAATGTAGCAAACTGTTATGTACATGTCCTTAATATTTTGACTTATCTTTCCTTTAAACTATTCTAATGACTAAGAATCAAATTCCCTCAGAAGTTTCTAAACGTTTCCCATCACATTTTGCCTCAAAGAACTCTTAGCTCCTGAAGCTTAATGAGACCTATCCAAACTTCTCTCACAAATTTCAAAAACATTGTTAGCTTTACTGATCCTTGTCATCAAGTGTAAACTTTTTCCATGTGTATGCTGAAACCAAATTTATCAAACATTATAAATTCCCAAACAGGAATAAATTGTGAATACAACTGTAGGTTGCTATACCTGGAAGTATATGCTTATATTAACCATATAAATTGGTTCCATTTTGGTTACTGGAAGAGAAGAAAGGCTGCAGTGGTTTAACTTGTTCTCTCATAGCTCAGAAGAAAAAGAAAGTTTATTCATTTAACAAATATTTATTGAGTACTTTCTGCTAGACAATGGAAATCTGGCATGGAATAAAACAAAAATATATTCATGCCTTCATGGAACCTATGCTGTACAGGAGTTCAAAGAGAGAATGAACAAATAGTATACATAGTATGTCAGATGATTCTAAGTTCTTTGGACAGAAAACGGCAGGAATAGTAATTTTAAATAAGATAACCAGAGAAAGTCATATTAAGATTGTATTTGAATAGAAACCTAAGGGACCAAAGGGAACTTGCCATGTGGATACCTGAAATTTGACGTTTACAGATAAAAAGCCTAGCCAAGTTAAAGGCTGTAAGGTGGTAGTGTTTCTGGCGTGTTACTCTTGGAATGGAAGGAAGCCAGTGTGGCTGGAAAGAGTGGGTGAGAGAACACTTCGCAAGAAATGAGGTCATATTGATAAGTTATTTAAAGGAGTCGGCAGCTACAGATCTGGAGAGCCTTGAACATTTTTCTATTTTACTCTAAGGCACAAACTTCAGAACACTGAAGGCATGTGTTTTCTGGCTCACACTTTAAAAGAAAGGCACATATAATAAGCTTCAGTCTTAAGCATGTAGAGCCTAAATGTTCTACTACTTGTGGACCCAGGAAAATAGGCAATAGTTCATTCAGGGTACTTTCCTCCACATTCCTCTGCATTAACAGTCAGTTTCAGTCTGCGCTAACATTTTTCTATGCTGTTTATGTGGAACCATTGTAAGTTATAGTACACAAAAAACATTTTCCCAGAAAGACTCTAGGCCTTTGATCTTTCTGGTCTTCACACCTGAATGTTTTCTTTCTCTTTCTGTCTTAAAGGTCCAGTTTATAGCTATGCTAAAATCATGAAGGATTTATAACTACTGTAGCTAATTGTGACCTTCCTCTTCTAAGAACACTTATTTATTTATTCTCATTCTCTTTACTACCTTATATTATGATTTAACTACTTGGTGTTTGTTTCTTCTCAATCCTACAAATTCCCTTCCTATCTCAATGCCTTGCAGACATTGAGTGCTAAGGACATGCTGAACAAATAGAACCTTGAAGGCCTACTGAATCTTGTAGAATAATGGCTGCACCAATGCCAGAAAGGTACTATAGTCCTGATCACTGAACAACCTTCTCCTGTGCAGAAAAAAGTATGTTTTTGAGCTCTTCCTATGTGTCAGGAATAATATGCCTGCCATGTACTCAAAAAGTACCTCATTTCACCCTCACAATACCACCATGTTAGCGGAGGTATCATCCTACTTATGTGGACAGAAATAGTGAGTGACACACGATAAGGTTAGGTTGTTTCCTTGAGGTAAATGAAATCTAATAAGCTGAGACTCAAAAAGACAAGATTCAAGCTTATCTATGTCTCACTCCAAAGTCTACATTCTAGTTATAGAAATAACTACAGAAAAGAAAATATTTTTCCAAGTAGTTTAAGGAAACTTTCAGATTTTGAATCATTAAACTTTCATCTCCTAGAATATAATGCATCAAAAATAACAAAAACTGTGGATGAGAGGAGGGAAACACTGCTGCTGGAGGATACAGTGTTGACTCTTAGAATAGGAAAAACTTTTCAAAATGTTCTATAATTGCAATCTAGGAAGGTATTATCAGTAGTGCCCATGCCTACTGTGGGCAAAATTAATCACAGACCATCTTTCTGCTGCACTAG